ATATATAATATACTATAATATAATATATTTATATAATAATATATAATATACTATAATATAATATATTTATATAATAATATATAATATACTATAATATAATATATTTATATAATAATATATAATATACTATAATATAATATATTTATATAATAATATATAATATATAATAATAATATATATAATATATATAATATAATATAAGCACATTTTGTAAGTTAAGCACAATAAGCACGCACATTCTCCCCTAATTGGCGCTCATATTGTACACAAAAATGGATAATTTGTTACCTATCGTCAACAACTATAAAAACGAATAATCGTATCTTCTCTTCCGAAATTGTCCATTTTTGTAAACAATTTGAGCGTCAATTAGGGAAAATTTACTGCATCTACTTTCGATTAAATTAAGAATGTTTACACCCGAATCGATTGTAAGAATAAAAAGATACGCCAAAGGCTTATGATAGCATGGGGAAATTTGAATGTTCCAGGAACATTTAAATGATCGAAGCGCAAGACCATAACGATGGACAATAAATGTACAGAAAGCGATTTCTTCCGCCCGTTCACGACAAATTGATTCTCACAATCAAGCTGGTTTCAGGCTCTCCATAGAATAATCAATGTTTCTCCTAGCATAATGACTCTGATCACGAAAATGAATATGGTCCCCACATTAATAAAACCTGTTACGACTCAGTATACCAAATAGACACGCGAATTTCTCGAGGCAGATCATTAAAGTTTAATAACCGAATTTTAGCTGGCCTCCGGTCACGTGTGCGTGTCGGATGATACGCCGCGTTTATAAATGAGCCCTCGGCATTGATACGATCATTAACCGTATGTTTCGTCTAAATTGGTAACACAGGAGCACTCGAATTATCAATTAGTGAATTAACACTAGTTTTTCGCTCTGTACGTAGCTCGGAACTTTAACATTCCACAATTAAGTTCCAGAAATATAAATAACATTCTTTCGTTAAATCTATTTCTAATAAAATAATAAACAATCTTCTGTACAGATATATTAAACAACTTCGTTATTTAGACGATCGTAGTCGAGTTCAGCAGAGAGTTTTCGAATGATTCTGAAAACGTCGAGTTCATCTGTGCTCGATAATTAGACGTCGGGATTTATCGACAGTTTAAATTAATCTACGAGGCAAGTTTCATGTTTAATAAAGTCCGACATTAGTGTGGAATAAGCTCGGCAAAATTCAGTGTTGACAGAGAATCGAAAATACCTAAACGTTCGTAATTATACTTATTTATACTTAATTTATACTTAATTTATACTTATTAATTTAGCTTAACTATACTTATTAACTCGCTGGAATTTCAATAAATGATCAATTTTTCAATAAATGATTCCAATGACGATGAACTGTGTAAAAGTAGAAATATATACCACAGAAAGAGCAATCAAGATTCTAGAAATTTACGTGCGACTGTCGCGCACAAAATGAAATCAACAGGTGTTCTTAAGTAGCGGAAGAAGTATTCTATTTTTAAAACGTTACGGTACAATTAAGGTGCTGCACCGAAAGGAAGTCTGTGACCATTCATATTCAGATATCTCATTTAGCGCTTGTGTACCTTCAAACCATTTCCTCCGCGGACTACGTGACGCCGTTGCTAAACGACTGATCATATTTGTGAACCTCGCGATAAACAACGAATTTTCACGACCGTTTGTAAACACACCGTATGCACTGACCACGGCTTCAACAATCAAGTTCAGTGTACCGTGTTAACTTTAAGGGGGCAATTTATCCGGAATTTTCCAGTCTCTCGATCGCACCAGCGACGCGGATTAAACGACTCGAGAAGAGTCCGGAACATTTATTCCCGCTGCAGCATTCGCAGAATCGGAATTTACAACAACCATCGATAACCGATGCGAATGTTTAAAGTGAAACTGAGGTAATAACAACGTGGTAATATTGAAACAGAATTTCCAGACTGGTTGTGAGGCAGCTTTGAGCGAGCCTCTTTTGCAGTTATTATCGAAAATTTTATTACAAATCATCGACAGAATCATCAAATCATTATTACTACAACCATTTCAGTTTTCATCAGGCATTGTCTATTTTATTACATTGTGAAGGATTTTCTTATCGTAAAACGAATCGATATACAGTAAATTCTTCTCAATTGACGCATAGAGATGGGCAATTTGGGAAGAGTTGTTTTTATAGTTGTTGATAATCGATAACCATAAAAACGAGCCGCATGATAACCTCGAATAATCGTATCTCTTCTTTCCAAATGATACACTTTTGTGTACAAGCTGAGGGACAATTGGGGAGTAAATTCTCCCCGATTGTCTCTTAACGTGTACACAAAAATGGACAATTTGGACAATAATAATAATAATAATAATAATATAAATATATAATAATAATAAATAATAATACAAAACTTAATACAAAACTTATTAATAAATAATAATAATAATATATAATAATAATAATAATAATAATAAAATGGACAATAATCGTACCTTCTCTTCCCAAATTATCCATTTTTGCTTCCAAGCTGAGCGTCAATTAGGGAGAGTTTACTGTATTCACACAGTGCTACGTTGACTAAATTTATATAACGTAATAAATGATTTATTTCATTGGTTCCGTGAAAATTGCAGTTCTCACAATCTCGAATTTATTGACACGCGTGATTTTCTTTTTTCTTGACGGCGAGGGATGACTCTTTCTTTCCTTCAAAAAGTATAATATGTGATATAAATTACTTCACGCTACATATAACGTTCGGCGTCTTATCTTTCCAGGAGGACGAGAATGTAATACGATCGTGAACCTCTTGAATTTCGAATGAAATTCGCTACGTTCTGATCAAGAGTCTTGGGGATTATGTTCACGAAGGATACTTAACATTGATTGAAAATTTTCAATCGCGGATCGATAAAAAATAATCGAATTCACTGAGACACGAAGTGTCGATCGTGTTCAAAGAAACTTTCATCAGCAGTTTAATTGGCGCGAATTGGATTGATTAGGATTAATTGCGCGCGTGTTATTTATCTCGTTCGTGCCTTCTGATTCCTCCTCTTTTCCTTTTCTCACCATCGTTTCGTTACTTTATTTGCGATCAATGAATTATTGTGTATCCTGCGTTAACGTCCTGAATTTATCCTGAATTTTTTATTATAAATATTAATCTCGGTTGTCATGTTAAAAATTTGTACAAAAGGATTTTGGAGGAATCGAATAGAATTAATTTTCTTGTTCAATGTCTGCGATTTAAATTTAAATATAGATATTATAAATATAAATATAAATATTTAAATATAAATATAGATATTATAAATATAAATATAGATATTATAAATATAAAAATATAAATATTTAAATATAAATATAGATATCATAAATATAAATATAAATATTTAAATTTAAATATATAATAAAATTTAAATGAATCGAAACTTTCTTCGAACTCGTTCTTAAAAGTAACAGTATCTAGATTTCGTTTTATCAAAGATTATACAAGGTGACCCGGAATTCGTAGTGCAACCGAGCAGGGGGCGATTCTACGTGAAAAAATAAGAAACAAATTTTGTATAAGATTTTTTTATCGTGGGCTCCGTTTGCGAGAGAATCTACGGTAGAAGAATGGACGACAATTAAATTCTTCACAAGGATGAGCAAACTTTAAGTCGATTTCCTTGAAAACTGAGCCTCGAATAAAAAAATTTGACACCAAACTTGTATCTTATTTTTTCACGTAGAATTAACCCTTGCTTAGTTGTACTACGAATTCCGGCCCACCCTGTATACAGACACGCCAAATTATAACGCAATCGCAGAGGAATAAAAGGTTCGAAATGAAAACAGCAGATTTGAAACGGTATTTGAAAATGATCGAATTTTTATTGCGAGGAGCACACGATGGTTAAAAATTAATTAATCGATTCAATCATTTTGAATTCTCTCATTTGGTGAATCTGTTTCAAATATTCAGAATAAAACACAATTAATAGAATCAAAGCGTGAACTAAAAACAATGAAATATTTTTTACTCCTTTGCTTACGTTAAAAGAAAATGTCAAATAGCGTTCGACCGGCGCAACAAAATGTCACACATTCTTCTTTTCGATAACAGGATAAAAGTTCGACTTTTATCTCTCTGCCTTCTCCATGTAACCTTGCAAAATTTCTCACACGCGTCCAAATGTAAGACAAAGACAAGAAACAAATAAAAACAGTGGTAACATCAGAGAGTGCTCAACAGATAGTAATAATGGAAAACGTCCAAACACAAGAGAATCAGGAGTTATCCGCGATCTATCTGGAGAATTTATGTGAATCTACTTTCAGAGAAGCCAAATAGATCACAGTTCGCCTAACTTTCCAAGGCACTTTGTCCATTTGCTGATAAGCTTCCCCACCGTTTCATTGTAACGTGTTTTCGGCTGAGCTGGCGAGCTACAAATGGAAATCGTCCTACACGCGAGTTGCCATAAATTGAGCTGATTGTATGCGAAAGATATTTGGACAATAGAGATCTGACATTGGAGGATCGGGTAAACGAGGTTCTATTGTATGTAAAAACAATCACAGCACACCCCAACCGTGTATAAATTGTATAACCACGTGCGGGAATCTCATTGAATTGTATAATATTTTTGTATAATAATTTTTATATTACTGTATGATATTAATTTTATAATATTTATTTAAATTGTACAATAATTGTATATTATTTATGTATATTATTGTATAATATCTGCGAATCTTCATGCATTTAAATTATGCATTAATAGACAACACAAATTTCCTTTTTATTCTGGCTTTTACGAAACGGTCGACAAAAGTGGAAATTTGCGCAAACATCCGTAGTTTAATACCGATATACAGTGATTTCTCCCTAATTCGCGCTCAGATTGCGCAGAAAAATGAACAATTTGGGAAGAGGAGACACGATTATTCGAGCCTTGCGGTTCTTTTTTATAGTTACCGTATCTCCTATTCCCAAATTGTCCATTTTTCTGCGCAGTGTAAGCGCGAATTAGGGAGAAATTTCTGTAAAGAATTTAGAAATGAAGGGGAGAGGGGACAAGCACGTTGGACAGCAAAGGATCAAAACAAATTCTGCCGTCAGATAGCGGATAATTTTTGACTCACCCACGCGAAAACGTCTCATCGCTAGCGCGCGCGCGCGCTCGCGCGTTGCATTACCTGCACGAAGTGCTGCACACTCTCCAACAGCATGCCGTACATTGTTCCGGCTGTGTATCCGCGTGCTTGTTTCACCGATCGGCATTCATGAAGACCCTGCTTATGTGCCCGGAATCGGGAAGAAATTGGTGTTTCACGATGAACTGAACAGGTGTCCCGGCCGCGGCACGTGTTGCATCGTCGCGACGGCTCGCGTCGCACCGACGTTTTTATCGAGTCAGGTGTTTCGCGGCATTCTACCGGCGAACGTCGTCGTTTCGACGGATTGCCTCGGCCCGTTTGCGACGATCGGAAGGAAGACTGTTCCTGTTCGGCGACGCGCCGAAGTTTGAGTTTCGGTCGTGCCGCGAGGGTAAACTCGCCACAGGAAGGGTGGCTGCGATGTACGCGCGGATTCTCTGCGCAGGCCTCCTCGGTCTCTTTCCTCTGGCTTTTAACACCTTGTGACTACGCACCAAGGCTATTCGACAGGGAACATCGTGGTTCAGCTCGGAAAGATAGCGCATGTTCGTTACACCGACCGAAATTCGCGTAAGCGCGCGACAATTGTGCGGTGTACTGTCCAAAGAATGAACGCTTAAGCTGCGTGTTTTTTAACACGTTCCGTGCCGAGCTTTTTTTACTCGAATCTTCACACTTTGATATTTTATTAAAACTTGATGTATTACGTGCAATTATTAATTCTCGTACGCATAACAACGTAACAAAAACTTATCAACGCCCATTCTTGCGGTGGAAATTGATTCTTCGGTTCTAAATTTCTTGTAAACAATTTGTTCAGTTCACTAAGTAAACATGCAAGCGTGTACCATCGATGGTACACGTGGCACGGAACGTGTTAAGCTGCATTCTATTCTGTAATCTTCAAACAATCGACTTTTTTCAATTTCACGAGGCTGGATGCTTAGGCATGCGCCTAGATAGAAGATTAATCTGGAAATCGCACCCCTTACATTCAGAAGGAAGCAAGCGGCTAATAAATTACGCAAAATGAACTGGCTACGCGGATATAAATCTCCGATATTACTGAACGATAACCCTGCTACTATATCGGGTGGGACAGCTGAATAACTCACTTGTTTTTGACAGTAGAAATTAAAAGTGTCAGACAAAAATTGTTTGATTTCAAGGGGCACATAATATGATGTCTGTAATTCTTTTATAAGTGGAGACGTAGAGAACATATAAGAGTCAGACTTGTTTCTTAAAATAGGTTAACCTAATTTTTTTATTCACATTCTGATAGAGCCTTTCAAGACGAATACAATGGTCTATAAACAACATATGAACGACAATGAAAAACAAATTTTTCTGTCGCGTTTAAGTTTCCTCATATTAACATGCGGGTTTTGTTCTACAGCGGTTTGAAATGGAATAACCTTTTTAGAATTGGGCCAAGCGATTTAAATCTTTTTTATCTTTTTTTCTTTTATTCTTTTATCTCTATTTATCTTTTTTATAAATCTGGATTAGCTTATTAGACAATGGCTAAATAGATGTTCTCAAAAATTGCAATCGGTTGATAATAGAAAAGAATTAAAAAATGATGTCTTTTCAACTTTTTTATTTATGCCTGCAACGAAGATTTTAATGTCTTCTTTTGTAGATCTTGCTAACATATAATAACATAATAAGCATGCTGATAATTTCATCGAAATTGGTTGATCTTGACATGAACTGTAAATAATTAAATATCGCGAAAATCGTAGTCTTTCACGATTTTTTACCAAGGACAAATGATCTTTACATCTTTCAGTGGCTGCAGCTTTTAAATTTTCATTGTGAGCTCACATAAATAAGTTGGAAAAACGTCATTTTTCAATTCTTTCATCGTTCCAATCAATTACGATGTTCAAAAACCTTTTTTTATTCATTGTCTAGTAAACTGATCGCTCTAATATCCCTCCAAAAATTCAAATCGTTTGGCTCAATCATAAAAAAAAAGATGTACGAATACTTTGTACACCGACTGTAGATATAATTCGATGCTCTCACAACAAAGCTTTCAGAGCAATTACAGTTGCTCCATGATTCGTCACCGATGAAAGTTTACACGAAGATCTAAAGCTAAATTATGTACGGGACTGTTGTTCAAGGAATGTAAATACGCGATTAAAAGCTTGCCTGTTTGGACTATGAATTAAATTCCCCATTTGAAATGGTGGTTGGAATTTTAGTTATCTCAGTTTTTAATTAAATCTTTCCCTTGAATACTGTAGCGAAACAATGGCTATACTAATCGGTCCGCATTCATTCAAAATTAATATTAATTTTCAACGGAAATTATAATTGGCTCGCGATAATTGTCGCGTTACTATAATGCGAATTAAATTGACCGAACGTCGACGTATAATTATTAAATTGATGGTATTAAGAAAAAAACGGGAAGAGAAAGCGTTGCTTCCAGCTTTGAAATTATACGAAAATTAAACTTGATATATATAAATTATTTTATATCGAGAATCTGTTCTCTTCTTAATGGATTTTGCTTGTTCTGTAAAGAATTTCCTGAATGAATTTGCTGAATCATTATCCTAGTTCGGCGCTTTATGCTCCCCTCTGTAATTTCGGACACATTATGATTAAACTCCAGGATTAAAATTGAATTTATCAAGTAAATTGTATACCCATCCCATTGAATTATAATTAGCCTCTATTTGTCGTTTCGTACCTCCACGTGTAACTATTATGCACGTTCGCTCGAAATACGTAATTCACATAAATTATACATTTCATTTTGCATTCCGCTTTCTAAATTGTGTAATACGTGTCCCTTAATATTTTATACAAAAATTATATATCCGCAGCATTTATCCCGTTCTTTTTCTTTTTAAAAGTTTACTAAAACTAATTACTAATTACTAGTAATTAAATATTAAAACCACACAATTTTGCACATCGTTTGTCGCACACTGTATGCTGCGTCTGTTCCGATTCAGAAATGATCTGTTAATATTTACATGATTGGAAGCAGAAGATTACGTGCTCGTAACGTTGTACTTTCGATTTGAAAAAAAATTATCTTGCAAAGTACGAGCCAGGTCAAAACCGATAACGTGCGCAATAAATAAGATGTATAAACTCGTCGTTGAAGATATACTGTTATCTTTTCTATATACGTGCCAAAAATCTTAAACGGAATACATTTAGCAGAACCGTAGAAAGCATTACCAATTAACAACACGTTTCCGTTTTCCGGATGATTAAACATGCATTAATTGCTATTTAATTCCCAGCGAAATCGATACGGAAATATGCGTAATTAAATTCGCTCCGTGAAATACGGCGACGGTGCAACGAATAATTCCTGCCTGTATTTGTATCTGTTTCGATGGATTTATTTCGTGTGCCCGCTAGAAGTTGGATCAGAAATAACTGATCAAGGCCGCCTTGCCAACTATAAATTACTCTAGTCTCACACGAAGCTCATTTATATGTAGCGACTTGCCTTCGCACTTTTAAAGGCGACCAATTTGCGTGTAGGCTGTCAATTGGTATGGTTAGAATAAACCTCCGTATCCTTGAGGGGTAATCGATATTTTTCCGATTATATTAAGTCATTATTTATAGTTAAGTCATTATAATATTAAGTCGTTAAGTCATTATATATAATTAGTCGGTAATAATAATAATCAGTAAGTCATTATATATATTATTTTTCAAATTAATAGAAACTGGAACGAAGGATTTGTATTCCATGCTTATTTATACAGTTTTTTTGTAAATAAATAACGTATCTAGTTTGGTCTGCAGTTATAAAAACGTTTGAAAACCTTTTAGTTATTGTTCCATCGTGAATATTTACGCGAATTTCCAAGTATTATTTGGTAAAAAGATTTATTCGTTAGTTTTGTTTAAATTTCTTTATTTCGTTAATACAAAATGAGAACAGTTAAGTATCGGCTCGTTTTTATAGTTATTGACAATCGATAACTATAAAAACGAACCGCAACGCTCGAATAATTGAATCTACTCTTTCCAAGTTGTCCATTGTTGTGTACAAGCTGTGCGTCAATTAGGGAGAATCAATTGTACGTGGGAACTTTTTAATTAGAAATTATGTAAGACAAAGGTAATTTAAGATTGTTTTACTCGGGATCTTCATATAACAATTTTAATGGCTTGACAATATCATTAATTAACTAAAGTAAAGCTCTGCTCACTATCTCGTGACATCATTGAATCAGGAGCACCATCGCCAGCTTTACGAGGAATACGGTCTCGTAACGTTACTGTGATATTCGCATTGTTATGTAAACCTAATGACAGTGATCCAAAGCTACAGCGACGTTTCTCGTTGATTTCAATGCAGACGAAGCGTACATATGTATATAGTGAATCGTACTGATCGCACAGTGTGATGAGTAGACTGCCGATATTTATGCACGATAAATATGCAAAAAGCATATGACATTTATGCACGAAAAGTATGCAAATATGCACGAAAAATGTGCAAATATTTACGATATTGAGTATATAATATATTAAGTATTAGGTATAATGTTAAGTATTAACAACCATTTTACACAATTATTCTGGTGTATTGCACTTCGAATTGCAGTTAATTACAATAACATTTTTTTCTAAATTCGGTGGTGTTAGTTGATGACTTTTGTCAGTAAAAATTAATTTGTACACCGAAAATGATTGCTTCGCATCACGCGATGCTGTGGTACATATTCTTCTACAAAGTCGCCACTTAAAATACGTGACATTTTTCTGAATTCCATGAATTCTTTATTTTCGTCTAAAGTAGCACTTATTTTCTTTTTAATTTTTTCGCTAAAATCTTGAAGGATACTTTCCAATTGAATTTTACGATTCATCTACATTCCTGTGGAACGATCTAACGGTAAACCTATGGTTTCTAATTTCTGAATCGTCGAAACATAACTTGTAAGAATTAAATTAATCAAATAAGCATGCGCCAAATAATGCAGATTTGAAAAAATGTATTGATTTTTATATTTCATATTTCACGGTTCAGTTTTTACTAATATTATGTTCTAATGTTCTATGAAATAAATGTTTGAAGGATTATGGGAATAAAACAGAGAGATAATAAAATCGATTATTTTTAATTGTTTATTTTCAAAGTATAACTCATTGGAGATGTTCTCCCAAAAACGACAGGTTTTTCGAAATTACGATGTTTTTAAGAGAACAATGCACCCGAATTTGCCGTTATTTCAAATGAATGATGTCATTTTCATTTCTAAATAATAGCATAAAAAATAAGACGATCTCCTTAAAAATCGATTATAAATTAATCGATATACGAGATTAATTTGCTTCAATCAACCGATTTACAAATAATTTCAACAATCTTATAATTCAATTTCCTCGACATCTCGATGATTAAATGCTTCTAATCATTCCCATCGATCATTTAATCGAATTAAAAATTTTAATCGATCGATGCCCAACACTGAACTCCAGTTTCGCCAGAAAAACTCGCTCGTTAACTAATTATCCAATCGACGGTTACATTAAAAGGTACAATAAAATCATAATAAAAAAAAAATTAATCACGATCAACGACTAAGCCGGAGATTTAGTAATTAATTACGATTAACGACTGAGCTGGAGATCTAATCGTCGATTACTAGCATGAATTTAATCGTTAATTGCAACGAACGATCGAATTAGAGATAGAATCGTTAGCAGTCGATTAAATGTTTTGTCCGACTCTGGTTGGACGAACGGGACCACGGGTAACACAGATAGGAAACACGATAGATGCGGCGTGTAAACCGAGGAAACGAGGAGGCGAGGAGATGCGTGCGCGCGCGCGCGCTCGCCCGAGCCTATAGTGAAACGTAAACATGGCCGCGGAGAGTAGCGAAGGTTTGCCAATATCTCCGTCCGAGAAATCGTTGTCGGGTAGTCTAGTGTCCGAGGAAAATGAAAAAACAGTATCGCGGTCGCCGTCGACTTACTCGATTAGGGAGGACAAGTGGCCGGATCTGGTCGTTTCGAGGCCTAGAAAACTGGACGTCTGGTGGTTGCCGAGACGTAAGTACATAGCGCGATAGGTGCATGCTTTTCATCTGTTTTTGGCGGGCGTTTCGAACGAGCCGGGACGAGCGGCTCGTCTCGTGCACGCGGCGCGTACACGCGTGATCGGTGGTATTTCTTATCGAGAAACGCCTACTCGCCGGCCGACGTGCCGCTGCGTCGTTGTACGTACAGAGATATATCGTTACGCGTGTTACACCGCGCATTGTGTTACACCGGCTATACCTGGCCATTGTTTACCTTCGTTATGGAGGACTGCCGCGCGATCGGTCAACATTGAATCCGTGGACAACGAGAGAGTCGCGATCGTGTTCATTTCTCTCGGAGAGAACAATTGCTTGTAGATTTCGCGTACGCTGGTGATCGCAACGTAAACCGTGCGATTTATACACCTACGTGGTCGCGAGAAACGGTTGTCCGTTGGTTAGGGCTGCTCTGCCGTCATTAGCATGGTTCGTGAAATATTGATACGTTTCGGTAGATCGGTCAATAATACGGCTTTCGAGTAAAGTAAACGGAAGTTGGTTGATTTCTAGCGTAATACATGTATTTCTTTGTGCAATCGACGTAGCCGTAGGAACGTTGTTTTTTTCTATTTACAAATCATCCTACAAGCGATATATACCACCTCTGGAATGACCCGATATGTGTACACTTGCGTACAGAAATTGCCTACATCCGTAGAAATCGCCTACATTTTACTTTAGATATTTTCGTCGCGTTGCGATACACGCTTACATTGACGTTAAGGCACAACAAACGATGTTCTCACATAGTTACGTATTTAGGCTTATACATACCCTGCGAAGGCCCTCTACATTTTCAGCTTATTGTTTACACGAAGTGCATGTTGTCGAGAAAGAAAAAAAGAAAACGGAATGTACTTGAAACTTGAAACATCAAGCTTCCTTTTGATGAACAATCGCGACGATATTAATACGTCGAATATCTTCTGTCTCTGTGAAATGCATAAACGGTTAATCACGCGAACGCGACCGCGGTGGACGGGAGATCTTACGATCCACGCCGCGGCCTGCCTTACCGACTTCGTTGGATCGCCGCCAGATGGCGGCAGGCTCCAGTCACCGCCTAGAGCGGGAATATTGATTATCGTAGGTGGAGGTAAGGTCGGCGGGAGAATCAATATTACTTTTCGCCGGCGAGCTCGCCATTTTCGACGTGATATTTTTCGTGGACGAACGACGAACGGAACCACGCGAGTTTCATCCGGCTGTGTGCATCGATCTCTCTCGATGTCTCCGCCATAATATAACCGGCCCGCCGCGCGACACCCGGCTACGATGTAGCATCAGTGGAATCAGCGGATCGTTTTTTTCTCGCTTAAGCAAATCTTTCTTTTCGTCGCTTCTACCGCAGTGTCTATAACTTCAATTGCAACGAACGCGCACGGTGTAACGCACACCTCTGCGATCCGCCAACATCGTCCGATAAATACGGAACGACGCCGATCGCGCCGAGAACGAATCTTGGAAAAGTGCTCTAAACGGACCGGACCCACGGCTCGGAACCAAAATAAAAGGAACCAGCAGAATTACAACGAGAGTTATTGACGCGATCTCGGCACCGTCAGCTGATTGACCTCGTTAAAAATAACCACGAACGGAAGAGTTAATTGCGATCGGACGTCGAAGAAGGGCAGAAAGGATCTCCGCTCTAAGGGATATATCAAGCTCTCTCTTCGAAGGGCGGACGCGTCGAAGAGGTCCGGTATTTTCCCCGTGACTCGACCGACAGCAATTAGCTCTACGGAGCGATCGTTAGCGAGAGAGCAGTCTCAAGTCAGCTCGGAACAAGGAGAGCTCCGTGCGTATCCGAAGGGATAGTGATCGCATCCTACGTCTTCTATGCGGCAAGATTCCCAAAACGGTCTGAAGATCAGGCCACCGGGCGACCACGGTGGTGTGCATCACGGCGGGGTCATGCTCGAAGAGGATATGGCTGGCGCACAGGATACCATATACCTGTGCAACTTCCGGGTGTCCGTGGACGGCGAGTGGCTGTGCCTGAAAGAGCTCCAGGACGTCGAGTTCTCGTTGCAGGACTCGTTGCAGCGGTCGCCGTCGCCCCCGCTCGCTCTCAGTGGTATAAATCATCACCATCATCATCACCGCCACCAGCAACAGCTTCCCGATCAGCGAGAGCTTCGCGATATAATGCCGCCAAGTCCGCCACCATTGCAGCACGTCTCCAGCTTGTGTCTGTACTCGATGTTCTTGCACCGTTCGCTTCACTCTTTACTACCTCTCTTTGGCTCTTTAATTTTCTTCACGAATCTTCCTCTTCCTCTCTCTCGACGCGACGCGTGTCGCGGCAACTTCTTCGCGGTTCGATCGGCTTAACGTTGCTTCTGGAGATCGAGGAACTGGTCCGACTGGATGTCGCCAGATTTCTTCTTTTGCTTCGTCGTCGATAGTCGGCAATGATTTCATACGATCCTGCTCTGTACAGCCCGATCTTCTGGAACTGCTGCTTGTCTCAACCGTCTTGCCGCCGGACGCAACGTTTTCGATCGGAAGATTTCGAGAACCTCGCGCACATTCGTTGCGATTCGATCGCGGGCAAATTCGATTCGAAACGAGACGTTTAGGATCGAAGAAATCTTGTCTGTCGAAAACTCTTGCGTCGATCAACGCGATACAAGACGGCTCTAATAAGTTCTAATAAGCTCTAATAAGCTCTAATAAGTTTATCGCTTGCTCGTTGTTGATCGGTTTATCCTCGTTACGATCCCCGAATTTGGGGAACCTCGTCTTAAACTCGTTGCTTTTCTCGTTTGGAAACGCTGCTTTGGAACTTCTTGTCCCGAGAGCGACCGATAGAAAGCTGTTTCTCGTGGTAGCCGAGATGTTCCCCGGTTTGTTGAACGAAAGTGCCCTTAACCTTTTAGGCACGACGCGCCACTATAGTGGCTTACTCTAGTAGCTCACTCGGTCATCGTTTGAATCGAATAATCGTCTTCATATGCGTTGTTTCACACTTCTTTTGTGTTTTGACTTACAATATACAGACTTATCTTAACAATANGGCGCACAGGATACCATATACCTGTGCAACTTCCGGGTGTCCGTGGACGGCGAGTGGCTGTGCCTGAAAGAGCTCCAGGACGTCGAGTTCTCGTTGCAGGACTCGTTGCAGCGGTCGCCGTCGCCCCCGCTCGCTCTCAGTGGTATAAATCATCACCATCATCATCACCGCCACCAGCAACAGCTTCCCGATCAGCGAGAGCTTCGCGATATAATGCCGCCAAGTCCGCCACCATTGCAGCACGTCTCCAGCTTGTGTCTGTACTCGATGTTCTTGCACCGTTCGCTTCACTCTTTACTACCTCTCTTTGGCTCTTTAATTTTCTTCACGAATCTTCCTCTTCCTCTCTCTCGACGCGACGCGTGTCGCGGCAACTTCTTCGCGGTTCGATCGGCTTAACGTTGCTTCTGGAGATCGAGGAACTGGTCCGACTGGATGTCGCCAGATTTCTTCTTTTGCTTCGTCGTCGATAGTCGGCAATGATTTCATACGATCCTGCTCTGTACAGCCCGATCTTCTGGAACTGCTGCTTGTCTCAACCGTCTTGCCGCCGGACGCAACGTTTTCGATCGGAAGATTTCGAGAACCTCGCGCACATTCGTTGCGATTCGATCGCGGGCAAATTCGATTCGAAACGAGACGTTTAGGATCGAAGAAATCTTGTCTGTCGAAAACTCTTGCGTCGATCAACGCGATACAAGACGGCTCTAATAAGTTCTAATAAGCTCTAATAAGCTCTAATAAGTTTATCGCTTGCTCGTTGTTGATCGGTTTATCCTCGTTACGATCCCCGAATTTGGGGAACCTCGTCTTAAACTCGTTGCTTTTCTCGTTTGGAAACGCTGCTTTGGAACTTCTTGTCCCGAGAGCGACCGATAGAAAGCTGTTTCTCGTGGTAGCCGAGATGTTCCCCGGTTTGTTGAACGAAAGTGCCCTTAACCTTTTAGGCACGACGCGCCACTATAGTGGCTTACTCTAGTAGCTCACTCGGTCATCGTTTGAATCGAATAATCGTCTTCATATGCGTTGTTTCACACTTCTTTTGTGTTTTGACTTACAATATACAGACTTATCTTAACAATATAACTGTATCTTAACAATATACAGACAGAATATACAGACACTCTGTATAGTACATATCAGACTCTGCCTCATATCAGAAACAGCCTCGCGCAGACTTCAGCCGTACCTGAAAGGTTAAAACGACGAAATTTTGCTTAGAACGAATCATGTAAATTGTAAACTGCAGTAGCTCGTGAATGGATGTTGGTAGACAAAAGAGAGTTCCGCATCAGTATTCTCGTTTATGCTCTGTTTCGTAGTCTTGTCGATATATTGTTTAACTGTCGCTGAATTGTAGGACAATTCGTAAAAGCCTAATTGAATTGTTCGACGCTTGCAATTCGGGTTTCGTTTAACACTTTCTTTCCTCCTTGACCTCCGGTACCATTCTGTTTTTCTTTTTCTTTTCGAAGCGACCTCGCGGATCGATGCTTCTCTCTTTAAACTTCTTTCTCTGCTAAACTGGCCGCGGTCGAATCTGTCCTCCAGGCTCGCTCGTGAAACTGTGTTCGCCTTTCGTTAGCACGGTCTTTTTCGTTTCGATGATTTTGCGTTCTGCTTCGTTCGATATTCGCATTCATCATCCTCATAATGTGTACCTAACTGGCGGATTTGCTCCGTGAGAGCGTCGCAGAAGAAGAGCATTGCAGGAGCATTAATAACGATCGTAATTGACGCCAGTAACGGTTGAACACGTAGAGAGACGTTTTATTGCATGGCCTTCAAACTGGAAACAAGAACCTATTGTTTTTGCAGCACGGGACCCAGTCATCATCGAGAGGAGTAATCTCGTTAATATTTCGAAGCTGATCGTGAAGGAGCTGATCGAAACCTCGTTGAAATACAGTCGAATGCTCGATTCCGATCACATGCCGTTGCAGCACTTCTTCATCGTTCTCGAGCACGTGCTCAGACACGGTTTGCGACCAAAGAAGGTAAATCACACCTTGAAACTATCCGGACGACGATCTCGGCCGTGGAAAATGGCATTAACCCGCCTTCGATTTCAGGGTCTCCTCGGACCCAAGAAGGAGCTCTGGGACATACTTCAGCTTGTTGAGAAATATTGTCCAGAAGCGCAGGACATTACGTCCAGTATTCGTGATCTACCTACTGTTAGGTATAACCATGATTTTACTCTTGACCTTACAATTTAGAAATTGTTCAACGCCGCACTCTCCGGACGTTGCCACTGGACCGCGGAAGCTTATGCTAAACAGCGATCATGTAATATATGCGCGAGATCTGTGCGTTGTTTCTGAAGAATGTGTATGAAAAAAAGTATTTTTTTAGCCAGAAAGATAAAGTCGCACGATCGTGCTTCATTTATTTATGTATAAATTTTGTATCATAAAATTGTAAAATAATTGCATAATTCGTTCTTCTGAACAATTACGATATCAGGGTGTAATCGGTAATCGATCGTACTTGTTTGTAAACAAATTCTGTGCACGCAAAAATTTACGAAACACGCAGGGAATACGTGCAACGCTTGAAATATGTAAAATGAACGATACATGTTCAAAAATATAATACATTTTATATAATGTAAGAAAAATAGAACATATTTCTGTCTGTCGAAATTTCGATAAACTAATTTATTCTTATAAAAATCTGCGTTTGCATAAACTTCTGCAGTCTAATCACACAATTTTGAACAATCTATGGATAATACCTTGTGTCGTGAATAAGACAAATTTATACGGTGTCCCACGAAACGTGTTTAAACATGTTTACATTAAATTTCATGATGTACATAAAATGTACTTTTCATTGAAGTTGTGTGTTTGAAATATTGTGTCATGATTGATAGTGACAGAGAATTGAAAACGTGATACAATTTCACAACGTTTTCGGGTTTACAATATTTGATGATCTATTCGATGATGGTTACTGTATATTGGTACATCGAATTTTGAACTTTTATTGGATTTTTCTAATGTTGATTCTTTGGCATATACGATTTATTATATTTTTATAATATACTATTAATATATATTATAATAGTGATAATAGTAATAATATAATAGTTATATATTATAATAATATATATTATAATAGTTATATATTATGATAATATGTATTATATATTATAATATTACTATTATTACTATTATAATGTATATTATAATATATACTATTGTGTAACACGATTTTTTCACAATTTCTTACGACGATTGAAACATTTTCGATGCTGATAATTACTCCGAAATTAAGGAAACGTCTGTCTATTGCATGGCTATACTCATACAAGCATTTAATAAATTCTATTCGACATTTTTATCGCAAGTCTGACTCGATATTACAGGGCAAGTGGTTAAATGTTGACGTTGGAAGAAATTCTGGAGAAAAGTATAGGAATCTATTTATAAAGATATTGGAAGAAATATTTTTACGCTTCAGATTATTCAAGCGTTCTGTTTAATATGTTGTCGAATTCGTCTTGACGTCATTTGCGTCACGGAGCATCGATACGAGAAAAACAGTGCTTATTGATTTATCGGGAAAGTGAAGAAACATTTTAAAAAGTTAGAATAAATGTTATCCTCTATAAGATATATCGCTAAAATATGTCGTACCAATATACAAATACTTTCTATCGTTCTCGAGTTTTATGAAACATTAAATCTTTTAATGTTTTTGACCGTTTCGAATGTTCTAGTTTCATTTTATCGAATGATTAAAACTGTTAAATAGAGTAATTAAATACAGAGAAAGGTTTAATCACTGGTTTCTATGCCACGCATTCTCGAACTTGTTGCCTGCAAAAACAAAATATCTAACTAAGCTGGGAAAAACTTCGAATGTCTGACTACGATTTTATCGACTTGTTATATATATATATATACGTTTTGATAGTATACAAGTTCTACCGAGTTCTTTATGTAAAATATTAAGTATGATTGTTTACTAATTTTAATGATATAACAATGAAGTGATGCGTTTACAAGGTGCTGCATAAAACGTACTTAAATCGGTTATATTGGAAATCAATGAAATTCAATTTACATTGACGCTACATTTCGTCGGTGCATAACTAATTTCTCACTCTAATAAATTCTGTTGCACATGTCAGAATAAAAGACAAATTTCTTTTGTTTGTTGGAAAATTCTTTGCGATAACTAGACCGCTGATATTTATGTACTCGTTCTTTTAATATTCTGAATCGGTTCAGCAGAGTATAACAATGTCCTTCAATTCTTCTAAAGTCTCTACAATTTAACGCATAAAATTCGCAGTCTAGTGATGGAAAAAAGGTAACAATATTCATTTTGTTGCAAGATGCGGGATTTCTTAAATGTTATATTTTATTAATATGTATACACTACATAAATATCTAATCTGAACGGAGCTAATCGTCAAGAATCTGTCTACTGTCATTGCATAAAAGCTTGTTAACCTTCATACGTTCCTCAGGATGAAAGTTCCTCGATTCTCTGTTCCTAGATAGTGTGAAACGTTTGATTAAATTCGATTGCATTTTAACACTAAACCTACCGCGGTCAAAGTGACCGCTTTCTTATTTTGCAATTCTGCAAAGTTCCGAGACTCTTCGGTGGAAAACGCTTGAATAAGTTATATTATTGGAGCAAGTTTTATAATAAAAACTTTACAAATTCCAAATAAATTCGGTCTTCTCATTTTTGTGAAGCAGTACATGCCAGTTAGTATTACTGCTTGGTAGTTTTAGTGTTAAGATAAATTTCTCTAAATCGTATAGTTGTGAACGAACCACAAATTTTCATTCAAAAGTGTCACGTAAAAATGAACGAAACTGTATTCCAGGATCTTCTGAGAAACGTACGACAGCTAAAGTCGAAGTTGATCGATCGAGATCCTTGTCAGACATTCGAAAATACAATAATTTCTTCCTAATCGCGTCCAGATTGCGCACAAAAAAATGGACAATTTAGGAAGAGGAGGAGCGATTATTCGAGCTTTGCGGCTCGTTTTTACAGTTATTGATAATCGGTAACTATGAAAACGAGAGGCAGGGCTCGAATAATTGAATCTCCTCTTCCCAAATTCTCCATTTTTGTGTACAAGTTAAGCGTCAACTAGGGAGAATTTACTGTATTTCAATTATATGTAATTCTAAATATACGTTATAAGATAATACAGTAAATTCTCCCTAATTGACGCTCAGCTTGTAAGCAAAAACGGATAATTTGGAAAGAGGAGGTAAGATTATTCCAGTCTTGCGGCTCGTTTTTACAGTTATTGACAATCGGTAACTATAAAAACGAGGCGCAAGGCTCGAATAATCATATCTCTTCTTCCCAAATTGTCCATTTTTGTGTACAAGTTAAGCGTCAATTAGGGAGAATTTACTGTATTTCAATTATATGTAATTCTAAATATACGTTATAAGATAATACAGTAAATTCTCCCTAATTGACGCTCAGCTTGTAAGCAAAAACGGATAATTTGGAAAGAGGAGGTAAGATTATTCCAGTCTTGCGGCTCGTTTTTACAGTTATTGACAATCGGTAACTATAAAAACGAGGCGCAAGGCTCGAATAATCATATCTCTTCTTCCCAAATTGTCCATTTTTGTGTACAAGTTAAGCGTCAATTAGGGAGAATTTACTGTATTTCAATTATATGTAATTCTAAATATACGTTATAAGATAATATAGTAAATTCTCCCTAATTGACGCTCAGCTTGTAAGCAAAAACGGATAATTTGGAAAGAGGAGGTAAGATTATTCCAGTCTTGCGGCTCGTTTTTACAGTTATTGACAATCGGTAACTATAAAAACGAGGCGCAAGGCTCGAATAATCATATCTCTTCTTCCCAAATTGTCCATTTTTGTGTACAAGTTAAGCGTCAATTAGGGAGAATTTACTGTATTTCAATTATATGTAATTCTAAATATACGTTATAAGATAATATAGTAAATTCTCCCTAATTGACGCTCAGCTTGTAAGCAAAAACGGATAATTTGGAAAGAGGAGGTAAGATTATTCCAGTCTTGCGGCTCGTTTTTACAGTTATTGACAATCGGTAACTATAAAAACGAGGCGCAAGGCTCGAATAATCATATCTCTTCTTCCCAAATTGTCCATTTTTGTGTACAAGTTAAGCGTCAATTAGGGAGAATTTACTGTATTTCAATTATATGTAATTCTAAATATACGTTATAAGATAATATAGTAAATTCTCCCTAATTGACGCTCAGCTTGTAAGCAAAAACGGATAATTTGGAAAGAGGAGGTAAGATTATTCCAGTCTTGCGGCTCGTTTTTACAGTTATTGACAATCGGTAACTATAAAAACGAGGCGCAAGGCTCGAATAATCATATCTCTTCTTCCCAAATTGTCCATTTTTGTGTACAAGTTAAGCGTCAATTAGGGAGAATTTACTGTATTTCAATTATATGTAATTCTAAATATACGTTATAAGATAATATAGTAAATTCTCCCTAATTGACGCTCAGCTTGTAAGCAAAAACGGATAATTTGGAAAGAGGAGGTAAGATTATTCCAGCCTTGCGGCTCGTTTTTACAGTTATTGACAATCGGTAACTATAAAAACGAGGCGCAAGGCTCGAATAATCATATCTCTTCTTCCCAAATTGTCCATTTTTGTGTACAAGTTAAGCGTCAATTAGGGAGAATTTACTGTATTTCAATTATATGTAATTCTAAATATACGTTATAAGATAATATAGTAAATTCTCCCTAATTGACGCTCAGCTTGTAAGCAAAAACGGATAATTTGGAAAGAGGAGGTAAGATTATTCCAGCCTTGCGGCTCGTTTTTACAGTTATTGACAATCGGTAACTATAAAAACGAGGCGCAAGGCTCGAATAATCATATCTCTTCTTCCCAAATTGTCCATTTTTGTGTACAAGTTAAGCGTCAATTAGGGAGAATTTACTGTATTTCAATTATATGTAATTCTAAATATACGTTATAAGATAATATAGTAAATTCTCCCTAATTGACGCTCAGCTTGTAAGCAAAAACGGATAATTTGGAAAGAGGAGGTAAGATTATTCCAGTCTTGCGGCTCGTTTTTACAGTTATTGACAATCGGTAACTATAAAAACGAGCCGAAAGGTACGAATAATCGCATCCCCTCTACCCAAATTGTCCATTTTTGTCCGCAATTTTAGCACGAATTAGACAGAAATTACTGTGAACGATATGCTCGTAGATAATACAGCTGGAAAGAGCTTATTCCTAGAAAAACGCTAGTGCGATCTGTTTTTGGACACACCTTTTTCCACTGATCAGACTTCCTTTTTAGCAGCTATAAGCTGCATATATATACAGGTGTGATTGCGTTGGTATTTTCAGGACCGCAATGGGTAGGGCGCGAGCTTGGTTGCGTATGGCGTTGATGCAAAAAAAGCTAGCCGATTATTTGAAAGTACTGATCGATCACAAAGACGACATATTGTCCGAGTACTTCGAGCCGGACGCTTTGATGATGAGCGAGGAGGCGATCGTGATAATGGGTTTGTTGGTGGGCCTGAACGTGATCGACTGCAACTTTTGCGTGAAGGTTAGTCCGATTGTATTCGTTTCCGCGGGTGATTGTCGGTCGCCGTAGGGGATGTGCGCGTGGTGTCTCCGTGAGAACTGTTTTGCGACTCTGTTGCGACAGGAAGAAGATCTCGATTGCCAGCAAGGTGTAATCGACTTCTCGCTGTATCTGCGCAACAGCAATCACATACCCGGCGAGTCTCCGGACGACGAGGTCGAGAACGACAACATGACCACCGTTCTCGACCAGAAGAATTATATCGAGGAGCTGAATCGCCATCTGAAGTAACGAATTTTCTTTCGATTCGGGACTCGTTTTCGAGCCCGAACAAATCCCCCTTTCCCCTTCGCGTTCGCAGCGATATTGTATTTTCCGTCGATTTCAGCGCGACCGTGACGAATCTTCAAGCCAAAGTGGAATCGTTGACGACCACGAACGCTCTAATGAAGGAAGATCTGTCTATTGCCAAGAATAACATACTCTCGCTCCACGAAGAGAACAGGCAATTAAAGAAAGATCTGGGAATCGAGGTGAAAGACACGAACGAGGTACGGCATTTCGTTTCAGGGTCTCTCGCGTTGCGTCGGACGATCAAGCGTATGCACACGTGTTTCTTTTTCGTTCCAGAACGGAAAACCGCCTATTAAGATCACTGAAACAACCGCGGAAATCGAGGAACTGAGGAGTAGGGTGGAGGCCGAAAAGAAAATGCGACAGGATGCGGAGAAAGAATTAGAGTTACAGGTTCAGAATCGTTCTAACACAGCGCGTATATTATTCTTGCGTTATATTCCTGCAATTCGCGACTCCAAATCGACATTGTTAGACGAATTATGCGTTCGAAATGCTGCATGAACGGTGCTGGTTCTACGTTCGATTCTATATCGAACGAATCAGCTTTTAATTCCAATTGCCTTAATATCAGTATTGGATATCCCGACAAGCTTATCGATAAACTTTTGAAAAAGCATGCCGTTGTCAACGCGTGTCGTTAATAGTTGCACATTCGTGCAGATGTTTGGATGTTGCGCCTGGAATGATTAACTTCCGCAGCAAAATCTTTCATTCTTTTCGAGATACTATTTGTGGTTCAGCAATTCGATTGATCGAACTATTTAAACGAATGTTTCGCTAGACCGAACGTAAAGCTGAACGAAGGACGAGTCTCAAGATCTAAACGACTTCCTCGAATTAGTGTCATTTTTCGAAAAATCGCACAACAGAATCTTCCGGCACGCAACTTCCAAACGTCGCCGAAGATCCCGTAAAACTTTCCCGATGAAAATGAATATCGACCATGCCTCCCGAATCAGGACGATGTTAACGCGCGACCTCTGACGAACGAATTTTCTCTGGAACAGATCAGTATGAAATCGGAAATGGAGGTGGCTATGAAATTGCTGGAGAAAGACATTCACGGGAAACAAGACACGATCATATCGTTGCGGCGTCAGCTCGACGAGATCAAACTGATTAACTTGGAGATGTATAAAAAGCTGCAGGTGATGTCTCATACTCCTTTTTGTGCGTTAATCGTAACGTGGTGTGCTCGGTTCTAGAAAGCCAAAAAAAGAACAAATTCCTTGTCACGTGGAAACCGTTGCGAATGTCTCTCGATGTAATGTGGAACACAATTCGGAACAGCGAACGGAAGAAGCTGTAACCCTCGTTGCGATTACCAATCTCTTCATTGCATGACTCATAAAACGATCCCCATCATTGCACCTCGAAGGAAAACGCTTCGGCGACACGTGTCCCCGCAGCCCTAACATGACCAGCTTTACAGATGTTCTAGCGATCCTCCTTTATCATTGTGTAACTCCTTAGTGGTCTTCCGTGGCACTAAAGGGGGTCTCTCGGTAGCCTATCGAATTCCTTGTTTCTGGACGTGTTTCCGTTATAGGAGTGTGAGCACGAATTAACGCAGAAAGGTGAAATGGTGAGCCGGCTGCACGCGAAGACCAATCAGATCGGCAAGATCCTGCATAACCTCGAGAAGTACAATCACCTGATGATGGACGGGGACAGTATTCGTAGCCCGACCACGCCAAGTAGTGTCTCTAAATCGATTCTTAACAAAACCAGTCCTACGTCGCCGCGCGGCTGCCCTTCGTCAGGCAATGTACCCGGAGCCGATCAGCAATCGCCTCCTAACAATCAGCAACAGCTAATTAGTAGCCAGCAGAAGCCCGCCGGTCAACCCACTAACAATCACCAATCATCCAATAATGTTCAGCAACCCTCTAACAATCGGCAAGATCCCCGCAATAATAGCGAATCCCAGAAGGCTGACAGAGACGGCGGTAACGATGACGGTGCATCGTCCAAGCCCGATAAGAGCCCGGAACGAAGTTCGTGCAACGGCGAGGTCCCTGCGGCCGCGGAGCCGGCCCAGGAACCGTCGAATGTATAAAACGGTCTTTTGCCTTTCGAGAATGGTTTTTATACTGTACACCATTGACACACTTCTCGAGGCTGTACCGAGAAGCAACTGTTTTTTTATACGCCTGACGTGCTTCTGGAATGTCCAACGCCCATCCGGCAGGCACTGGACGATCCACACCTATGTGTGATATGTACACCGTGTCGCAAAGTATCATTTCATATTTTTCAATTATCTTCCGGAACGATCGAGTAATCTTCTGCTACGTTCAGTTGCATCGGAACAATTAGCAAGCTGTCTCTCTATGCCGCGCTCTCTAAAACGTTCCTGCGGAATCACGGAGCCTAATGATCGCGATTCACGGTCGAGCAAAGCGTCGTTGGACCTTTCAGAAGCATCGTGCACACGACACGACACGATACGATACGACTATTATCAAATTATAAAAACTAGAACTCTCATACGGAACTTCCTATAACCGATAAACGCGTAGAAGATTGACGGAATATCAATCGAAGAGTAATATATATGACGGTGAATTATATGAACGATTCACGCATCGGTACGCTTTCTAATGAAGTCTCTATCAAGGTGTGTTTCGATTGCGACACTCTATATAATATCAAATTAGCTGTGCTCTGTTACCGCATAATTGCGCTGTTGATGAAATTGCTATTCAAATATCGAACTATCGAAGACAATAACGTCAATAGAGGTTTTAACTGTATTACGCTTCTTTATGAAGTTCGATTGATATGTATGCCGCCCTTCATTCGGTTTTTGATTACGTTCATTGTCACCATAGGCTTGAGCAATTCGTCCCGTTTATACGGGTCTATTAATTATCGTGTCATTCCAGCAACGATCATTCTTTACTGCATGGTTCATTGTTGAATAGCACAATTTTACGATGATAAACGTGTACGTCCAGTTGGCACAACTGGTATTGTTCAGGATGCGCTTCGTGGCCAGACTGCGGATATTTAATGCGAATTCTTTTTAGATACGGGAAGTTGATTTTTGCCGTTTCATACAGACTTTGCTAAATTTCCATTTCCGTGACGTTACAGAATGGCGGATGGAAGCTTACGAGGAAAAGGAAGAAAGAAATTGCATTCGTTTTCAATTTTGATAGTTTTCGCCGGTTCTTATTTGACCAACGTTTGATTCTTGCCAAATGCAAGTCTCATTCTTTGGTTTTCGCCAGTGTCGACAAATTGATTTGATCGACAGTGTTTCAACCGGTCTTCTAACTGCCCTAGCGCTGATTTGCACAACGTTTCTTAACTTTATTTCAATAGTAATATCAGTTGCGAAACGAAAGCAATCCTTTTCGTAAAAACGATCCTTTCTCCCGATTGTTTTTCGTGGCTCACCGCTTTTTCGATTCGACCTAGTCTTCGAAAGTTTGTTTCACAAGTACTGTGGAACTATCTTCTTTTGTTCTCATAGTCTTAATTTGTTTCCTAGACAGATCGTCGTAAATTAACGTTCGTAAAACTCGGAGAAAACCAGCAGCGCTTAATTCGAGATTCAGAATGTCAAACGTGTATCTGCGCATCTCGAAACGCAACAAACCAAGTGTAGAATGCGAACTTTATGTACTTACGACGAGAATGAGGAGTTGTAATTTTTGAACTCCGAAAGGATTTAATGAATGCGTCGCGCGAGGTCCGCGCTTTTTATAAACGAACGCCAGTTACGCAATAAGGGTGTAATCGGAATTAATATTAATCGACTTGAAACACGGCCGCTGCTGTATCCAGTAGAACGAATCGACGTACCATAATCGCAATAGAATCTGCGGTCTGGCCACGGCGAAATGCAAGACAGAATGACGCTTGTTGGCAGGCGATCGATATCCTTTTCTAGTGTTCGATCGAATGGATTCACTTTGCATGCTTTTCGACTAATTTTACCTATATACATATATAGCGCAGTTTCTTACGTCGCTCGCAATTCCTCTCCGAGGGCCACTTTTACACAGAACACCAAACAAACTAACCGTCACCGGCTGACGTACAGCCGCAAATTCTATGTATATGTATATGATGTTTCTACGCATTGTACGATTTCAGGGGTGATACACAACACCTGATCGAGAAACGAAATCGATTTCATTTCGCTTTTCACTGAAACAGAATTTATTTCAGGAGTGCGAAGGCTCGCTTAAGCATAAGACAGAACTGATCACTAAATTGGAGGCTAAGACGCTATCGATGACTGAGAGCATCCAAAAAATGGATGAAAAGTATGTTTATTTGTCTTTCATTAGTCTTAGTTTCTATCTCATAAGCACGACTGACTCATTATCGGTCTTAGGTCGTAGTCGAAAGCGATTGTCGCATCAACCCCGAGTCCGGGGCAATTGCATCTCGACAATTTCTGTACAGTTTCTCTCGCTTGATTTCATAATTGTAACGATCTCATTGTTTGTTTGTAGTCACACACGTTCGCTCATCGTTTCAGAATCATCACCCACGCAAAGATCGAAAGGGGGAGCTTCGGTACGCCGAACGCGTTCGCTCGGCCACGAATTTCTTTTCCAATTTCTCGTCATTCTAATCGAGATCCAGCAACGGCGAACGGAAATTCGAATTGTCGCGTGTCGTTGCAGTCGAGTTGCGCCAAATCGGTCGAGTTGCGCCCAAGCGTCGAGCGTTCGGCGCAACGAGGTCCCCCCGCAAGATAACTCATCCCATCGAAGCTGTTGATCGAGAAATATAAAAATCTTTTAATTTCTTTGTTTCTGCTCCAAGGAATATAGCCGGGCAAACAGAAACCAACTAAAACAAAACAAAAATAAAAAAAAAACGAAAAAAAAGATACGAAAGAAAACGTTAGAAAGAAAAAGATACTAGGAACCGTTCGCGTTGTTACGTTTAGCATCCACGTACAAAGTATAGTCGTTGTGATAAGGATACAGATTTTCTATTAGCCCGTGTATCGCCCGATACGAATTTGCCGCGCGTCGTACGTCGGGCTCGGAGATAATTTAACGACGTATGCCCGACGGTTCTTAGCTAGAGGTGATTTATTTTTTACTTACTTAGGCATCGCGTCGCGCGATCGCGACCGCGATCGGATCTTTAGCGTATACATAGTTTACGTATAGCGGAGTTCACGCAAATTAGACACAGAACGACTTTCGTCTGTAAAACGGAGATGTTGGCAAACCTTCACTCGACGGCTACCCCGCAATTACGTCTCGCATTATGAATATTAATGTTATAGAGTTGTCTCTCCGTGTTTCCCGCAATAATTCGTAGATTCTCACACTCGGCCCGGATAACGCGTGGCATCGACACCATCGTCGAAACCCGAAAAGCGCAGAATATATCGATTTCAATTTATTTTCCCTTTTTGCTCGTGAACGCGTGATGCGCGATCATTCGCGTCGATTGTACGTCAATTACGCCTGACGGCGCGTTTCATTCGATCGCCACGGAAATTAAACGATTCGGTTGTTGTATTTAAGGAACTGACTTGCGATCATGTTCGCCACCACACAATATATATCATCGACAAGACCCCCGCCCCGTCTGGTTGCTTTTTAATTCACGTTCTTCTTTTTCTTTTTTCTTTGAATTCACGGTCTTTATCTTGCTCCTGGTCGTTGTGTTCGACCGGCCGTGCGTTTTCTTTTTTTCTCTCTCTCTCTTCGAACGGCACCGTCGTTTCACGTTCATCAAAGAGACTTACAGTGCCATTATACGAGTATATAATTTATATTCTCTCTTTATAAATATAATTATGTATAAGAAATCGGCGAAATGGTCGTTATAATCCACCGATACACTACGTGTGCTTGTACCAATGCAGCGGAAATAAATTTATGACAGAAACCAGTTGCCATTTGATTACCCCCAGATCATGCATCGCTCGAGGTCAAGGGTGCGTCCACGCTTCCCTCGGGAGCTGATCGCTGGCTGCGTAAATGCCGCAACCTTCTATTTAGGAAGACACCTTCCCTTCGTTTTTTATGTCACGGTCTACGCTTTCGCTTTGACGTCCGACGAAATGTCGTCCGAACGTACCTGTCGATAACAATGTCGAACACGTATCCCGTGTTTTCGATAGCCGATAGACGATTGTTATGGATTTTCGCGCGCCGAATACGAATCTGGAAGATCGAATTTTAAGAAATTTCATTTCGAAAATAATTTCAGAAAATAATCCCGTATTTTCGTTACGTTACAGAACGTTTGCACAACGTTTCGGCCGTCTTTCGACGTTTCAAGAAATCGATCGCGCGCCAATTTCACGGAAGTTTTTAACTCGCTTTGGAAACCGAAGGGCTGGGATAAGATCAAACCATATTCATCGTACGGCAGATTCATTTTACCCGGAAATCGTGAAAGAAAGCTGCGACGCAGATCCTGTTTTCGATTGCGAAAATAAAATAGATTCGAGGCGCTGCGACATTCGAATCTATAAAAATCGCCTATCAGTTATTGGAACGCTCGGCAAAGTTGAAATTTATCAGTGTGTCCTGATTGACGATCATTTGGATTATTTTACTGAAACCTCTTTGTTTTCAACAATGTAATACATTTTGATAGAAAAGGAAAATAGGAAAAATTCATCTTCGTGACAAACAATTTTCGTTTGGTACACTTTTTTTTGTACACGTAGTTTGCAAGAAAAATTAAGGCGAAAGAGTTAAATGACTCCCTGTAAAAAACTGTTTATTTTTATTTTGTCGTGGAACCATTTTTTATTCAGTACCTTTTTTCTGATAAATTACAAGAGAAATTAGTAAACCGAGAATTCAGAAAATATTAAAGACTATAAATTTATGTTTATCGTCATGTTCGATGCAAACTAATTTCTTCCCAATTCGCGCTCAGATTGCGCNTTCGTTTTTTATGTCACGGTCTACGCTTTCGCTTTGACGTCCGACGAAATGTCGTCCGAACGTACCTGTCGATAACAATGTCGAACACGTATCCCGTGTTTTCGATAGCCGATAGACGATTGTTATGGATTTTCGCGCGCCGAATACGAATCTGGAAGATCGAATTTTAAGAAATTTCATTTCGAAAATAATTTCAGAAAATAATCCCGTATTTTCGTTACGTTACAGAACGTTTGCACAACGTTTCGGCCGTCTTTCGACGTTTCAAGAAATCGATCGCGCGCCAATTTCACGGAAGTTTTTAACTCGCTTTGGAAACCGAAGGGCTGGGATAAGATCAAACCATATTCATCGTACGGCAGATTCATTTTACCCGGAAATCGTGAAAGAAAGCTGCGACGCAGATCCTGTTTTCGATTGCGAAAATAAAATAGATTCGAGGCGCTGCGACATTCGAATCTATAAAAATCGCCTATCAGTTATTGGAACGCTCGGCAAAGTTGAAATTTATCAGTGTGTCCTGATTGACGATCATTTGGATTATTTTACTGAAACCTCTTTGTTTTCAACAATGTAATACATTTTGATAGAAAAGGAAAATAGGAAAAATTCATCTTCGTGACAAACAATTTTCGTTTGGTACACTTTTTTTTGTACACGTAGTTTGCAAGAAAAATTAAGGCGAAAGAGTTAAATGACTCCCTGTAAAAAACTGTTTATTTTTATTTTGTCGTGGAACCATTTTTTATTCAGTACCTTTTTTCTGATAAATTACAAGAGAAATTAGTAAACCGAGAATTCAGAAAATATTAAAGACTATAAATTTATGTTTATCGTCATGTTCGATGCAAACTAATTTCTTCCCAATTCGCGCTCAGATTGCGCACAAAAATGGACAATTTGGGAAGAGGAGATACGATTATTCGAGCCGTCTCGTTTTTATAGTTGTTCACAATCGGTAACTATAAAAACGAGCCGTACAATTTGAGCGTTAATTAGAGAGAATTTACTGTATTTCAATTATATGTAATTCTAAATGCACGTAATAATTTATTTGAGAATTTGATTTAAAAAAGGACGAATACAGTAAATTCACCCTAATTGACCCTCGGCTTGTACACAAAAATGGACAATTTGGGAAAAGGAGGTACGATTATTGCGGCTCGTTTTTATAGATGTCGATTGTCAACAATTGTCCATTTTTGTGCGCAATCTGAGCGCGAATTAGAGAGAGAAATTACTGTACTACGTACAATGAAGTATCGAACAGTCGATTGTAAATGTTCCCAAAGTTTTGTTTCTCTGAGAGGAGAGTTTCAGCTCCGAGGAATACATTTGATACGTGAATCGGTAATTTTCTACTGTGAAATATGGAACGATGTTGTTCGCGCACACGAGCAGTGGCTTTACGCAGCTCGGATTGGCTGCCGACTGCAGTCTGCACGCACCCTAAAAGACAAACAGGGATGTTCGGTTTCACGTAAACCGAATCGTAATTGCATGCGACCTCGATACCCCGAGCTCACCGTTTTCATTTCTCGTGGAGACGTTAGTATGAAAATCGCCCTAATTAAATTTTCTTTTCTCCCATCGTTTCTCACGAAATATCGAGGTTATGATAATGCACAAGGTAAGTCGGACTTTCGCTGCGTTAATCGTCGGATTATGGGTTCAAGGAAAAATAAACGAGCGGAGATCTCGCCGAATTTGCGGCAGGATCAGCGCGTAGAGCCATTATAAAAACATTCCGGCGGTTTCTTCGGCTGGATAATGATATTCGGTCATGAATAATCATGGGAAAAGACTTCCGACGAGACTTCGGGCCGAGTTACTGATCTTCGTTCTCGTAACTTCCTCGCGTTGCGAGGCTTAATATTTCTGCGAACTCAAGCAGAAAAATTGCGCCGGAGTGTAGGCGCTGCGGCGAATTTGTTCAAACGGATGGCCGTCCCGGTTATTGAATTAGTCAAATGGATTTTGGCCGAACGGTCGACGACGTTCCGGCTAGGCGTGAATTATTATGTACGTAGTGTGTTATTGCGATACAATTCCTTTCAATTATCGGCCACGTTGATTCATCGAAAGTTACTGAACTCGTCGAATGATCGCAAGATAGTGCCTTAAGTACATTTCGACGTTCGCGACTCCAATTTGCACGCGTTTAAAATTCTATGTTCTTCGTTACGTATAATAATTGCCGCGCGTTTAGGTGAAATCTCTGCTAATGTATTTCGTTCGAATTGGCTAGTATCTTTTGACGATAGCATAAATGCGTAAACAATTGATTCGACAAACTCTTATCATGATTTGTCCCATTTCGTTCAGCTGTTGCAAACACGTCAGATAATCAACGAATTGATAATTGTTTAATAAAACAATGTCTCGAACAAAAGAGGAGAATTTTGCAAAATGTCATTTTGTTTCGAGCTGAGTTCGAAGAAGTTCCAGAATTTTTTCACAAGCTGCATTGGAATTTATTTTATGTGGTATCTTTTGAAAAAAAGTTCTCGTATCAGAAAGGGTATCATCTCGGATATGAAAGGATTCTCGGGATTAAAAGTTTTGGTTTGTCTAAGATTAGAAATAAAAGTTTTTCTATAACGGGAACAGATATTTCGTAGATTAATATTCAAACGATTCTCAGATATTGTAACAAGCGTCAAATATTATTTAATTAATAATAGTATTGCATAATATCGATCGTCGTCGTTTATAGACGAGCTACTTTCAATCAAATTGTATATGAAGCTCATGCTATTAATTAAAAGCCAGTTGCTTTGGAGACGTTAGTATCGTGCATAGGCTACGAATTCGTAGACAACAATTAACACTTTATAGACCTGAGACTAATTAACTCTTCGCACTCGAAGCTTATACAAAATTAGTTTTTCTAATTTATAGTATTTTCATTTTACGCGATCTATTGCATTTTATACATGTGAAATTGAGTCTTGTCACTCGTACAACAGTTTTAACAGTTTTTTTTTAAATATCAACATATTTAATAACATACATATTATTCTGGAACGTGATATAATAATCTTTTTTATTTTAATATAGAAACGTTCGATAATTTTCTTGGAAATAATAATTACAAAAGAACCTGTTACATTACATTAAGCTAAATAATGTTATGGATTACGTTCTATACATCTCATGTTCCGTTTTCTAAGGAGTTCTTAACAGTTCGTCTCCGATTTTAAAGCAACTATTAAAATGCAAACAAACCTCGTTATTGCGGTATCAGATAATTCAAATGGAACGTGTGACTCCGCCATGCTACTTAACACTAAATCAACCGAGCAGTAAAAATGTGACTGGTGTGCGTTACCTCATAAAAATGAAACCATTCAACTTATTTAGATTTTGCATAGTTTTTTCTATTATAGTAATTGCTTCGATAATGCTATTTATTCGATCATGTTCCATGAACGCTTCTTTATAATTTCGATAATTGAGTGGATTCGAATCATAATTACGTGAGTCATATTGTCCTCATTGCGAGAAACAAGGAGTGTTGTTTTTTTACTAACATGCGTATTGTTTACTGACTAAATTTACTGTTAAAACAATTTAGAGCTAAGTTAATTCACAGTAACTTCATAACTTATTTTATTTGTCTTCCTAACATTTTGGCATGTATAGACTACATTTTAAAATATAAATCATTTTCGAAATCTGACTTACGTCACTGTGACTCTGATCAAGTCAATTGTTAAATGAGAAACCGGTCATTCGATCGTGGTTTTGATTTAGCATTAAAAGAACGCAGTGCGATTCGTGTGATATTTTTGAAAAATGAAACATTTGAAGATTCTTTGAAATCTGTAATTCTTCTCCGATCGTAAAATCATTGCTCTAACTCACTCTCGTTCGAAACATTTTCTTATTAAACAATTAAAATCAGCTGAAACACCGCAACGACCAACACTCGGTGTAATAAACAGCCGAACCGCATGGCATCGGGTCATCGATTTCGTATCACTCATCAATTCATTTCTCATTTCACGACTCATTAACGACATCGCCATCGTCTTTCTGTGTTCATCATTCGTAAGAACAGCGCGATTCGGTGACGTTCACGTAGACGAAATCATATTTCGCGTAATGTGAGGCCGCGGTCTCTTGTTTGACGGTTAAGTACCAGCGTTTTGGCTTAATCAGGTGCAAGGAAATGGCCAGCGTGAGATCCGAAGCGGAGGAGAGGGTGAGGATTTTGGGTGCCGAGGCAGCAGAGAGGGAGGCGAGAGCGAACGGGGTTGAGAGGGAATTGCAACTCGAACGTGAATGGAGGACCTCCTTGCAGGAAGCATCGATTTCCAACGTGGAGAAGATCTCTCAATTACATCAGGAGATTGATCAGTTGCGGCGGGTGTCCGAGGTACATTGCTCCGTTGAACGTGCATACAAGATGCTTTCGAAGTATCTGATCGAATTTAGCTGAAACCATTGACCCACATCGGATACTTATTTATTTCATCTACACGACTCAAAGAAATGTTCCGCCCCTTCGATTCTATTTTCTGCGGCTGACGCACGGTGTTCCCGAACGGCGAAGTCTTGGCCGAGACCTTAAAACGCATTTTAACCCTTTGCAGTCGAAGCTATTCGAATTCGAAATCCAAAACATGATTTCTGTTCTACAGTATTTCTATTTTATATAATTTATTGCGATTCATGCGTATGAAATTGAGCCTGTTGGCAAGTACAATGCAATTTTAATAGTTTTTTTTTAAGTATAAAAGAGTCTGATGCTCTTAGAATGATTTTGAAANTGGGTGCCGAGGCAGCAGAGAGGGAGGCGAGAGCGAACGGGGTTGAGAGGGAATTGCAACTCGAACGTGAATGGAGGACCTCCTTGCAGGAAGCATCGATTTCCAACGTGGAGAAGATCTCTCAATTACATCAGGAGATTGATCAGTTGCGGCGGGTGTCCGAGGTACATTGCTCCGTTGAACGTGCATACAAGATGCTTTCGAAGTATCTGATCGAATTTAGCTGAAACCATTGACCCACATCGGATACTTATTTATTTCATCTACACGACTCAAAGAAATGTTCCGCCCCTTCGATTCTATTTTCTGCGGCTGACGCACGGTGTTCCCGAACGGCGAAGTCTTGGCCGAGACCTTAAAACGCATTTTAACCCTTTGCAGTCGAAGCTATTCGAATTCGAAATCCAAAACATGATTTCTGTTCTACAGTATTTCTATTTTATATAATTTATTGCGATTCATGCGTATGAAATTGAGCCTGTTGGCAAGTACAATGCAATTTTAATAGTTTTTTTTTAAGTATAAAAGAGTCTGATGCTCTTAGAATGATTTTGAAAAATAGTATAGCAATTTTTAGTGGCGCCTCAGAGTCGCCATTCGAGTGTAAAGGGTTAATTCAATCGGAAATCAGTATTTCGAGGTTTTTGGGGGTTGTTGATTATTAGACTGCAGATTTTATGCGTACATAGAACAGTGAGAACATTCGAAAAATTAACGTACGCTGTTACGTTACTTTCAACGTACGAAGATCATGAAGGGAAGAAATGATCGAATCTGTGTTACTCGTAATTAATGAAAATAATGTTTATTTTGCAGAAAGATCCGCAGTCTACTGATTACGAGCCTGAACTTGACATTTTTTAAAGAACAAAATTGCGAACTTAATACGGTCGATAGCAAAATATTATTTATTCTTCGAAGAAGGTTGTGCAGAAGCGTTTTTCTAGAATTTGAAAATTTTGAAAATTTAGTCAAATTCTCCGCATCTGGAATTTCGAGACGTTTTTAAATGAAAGCTTATAAGACAGAAATAATTTATATTCCACAATATATTATATTAAAATATTGATTTGAATGAAGCGCGATATAACGAATTGTTGATATTTCGATGAGATTGAAAGAAGTCGATAAAAGGTTATAAATGGTGTACGTAAAAGTATAAGTACATTTAGTAAATTAGAAATGCAAAAAATAAATATAGAAAGATAAATGCAGAATCTTCCACATTTTCTGTAAAAACACTATTATGCATCCATAAAAGGTAGTAAGACAAACATGATGACACCTAGTGACAGCTGTTTCTTGTAATTTTAGTGGAATTTAAAATTTAGAAATCTAAAATTTAGAATTTTAGTGGAATATTAACTTTTACACTACGTATTTAAAATTTGTTCTCAAGCCTTTCCTGTTCATGTTTTATAATATATTTTATAATTGTTACAAAGTAATTATTAATTATTACAAATATAGTAGAACATATAAATATTCTACTTACTTCCAGGAACAGTATCCGTTTTACAGAACTGAAATTAGATAAATATTTTCGGAATAATGTGACTCGATCTTTTCGCTTTCACACCGCTTTTCACGAGTAATGCACGACAAACGAAGGAAAATTTTGAGCTCTGGTCATTGTATAGGTGCATAAGTAATAAAACCTTCGTACCCCAGATGTTGTTCTCGTATATTATGCGAAAATCGAAAATAGTACTTACCGTATCCCTCGATTTCGCTGTTTCGGAACACTATGCGACACAGGTGCACTAAAACGGCGTCTCAGAAAATTTCTTTCGAAATGCACGATGAACATTTCTTTAACCCCTTGTCGTACTATGACCCGCAATGCAGATAATAACCTGTTAACCATCTACGATCCGAACTTTTTATATGGGTTAGAAAATTTATATAATTCGAAACCAGCAAATGTGAATTTCGCGATGTAAGTTAACGAGGAATTCACGATTGAAACAAAAATTCTGCCTAAAACTGAGGTTACATGAAAAATTATGATGAAACTGCTTCTTTCACGTCGGAATGTAGATAAATTTTTTTTTCTCCATTCGAATATGGTTACAGTCGAAAATGTTCTGTTCATCCTAAATATGAGAAAAATCGTACGGCAAGGGGATAATGGTATAATTATCCGGAGCTCCAGAAAATTTGGAAAATTTCTCTGCACTTTGCATCCCGCAACGCAAATCTATTTGCTCTTCGTGACGTTGTAAAATTTTCTTTCGCCGGAGTTCATTTTTCAGCGTGAATAGTTTATCTTAGATTATTTAAATAGCGACTTTTAAAATCATTTTATCAAACGAAGTATGTAAAAATGTAGGGAATTCCGTGATCGAAGATCGATTTATTTCTAAAACGAAAAATGTAAGGCGCGTATTATTAATAAGAAGAGGAGAAAACATCAATTTTGAAAACAGGATGCAGTATTTTTTGGACTGTTTCCGATATCTCTCACCGTTCTGCAGATATTTTTCACAAGGAAGAAAATTCTTCATTCTTTTCAAGGGATGATTCCACCCTCTGGAACCGTACCACGGCACGAACAAAAAATAGGTTTGTGTTGCGGATGACTTACTCCACGTGCGCACTAAGTTTCAAAATTTCCAGAATTTCTGGGTTCCGAACCTTTTTCATCTTCAATATGTTCTATATTCGATAGTCCATTTCTTACGGTAGAATTTCTAATCTTATAAAATTTCGCGTAGAAGGGACTAGTAACATCCTAGAATAAAAATCCTAGGAACATTGAATCTCAAAATAAATGTGAAATAATGCATATACAGGGTGGGGGGTATTTGAAACGAGACAATATTGTTTTTGACAACAGAAAAAAAAGTTGCTGTTTGATTTCGAGGGGCACAAAATACGATAAATGCATTAATTAAATAATTATTTCAATAATTATTAATTTTAATGAATTAATTTTTAGTTTTATTTCATTAATTAAATGATATTTTTGGAAATTTTGGCGTCTCGATATTCGGCACTTAACGTGTTAAATTATATCTGGGATATTTAATTGGAGAATCAAAGTTTTCTGGTATTAAAAGTAGAACTGTACGACGGTGGTATGCAACCTTGTTAGTTCAACGTAAATGTAAAATTTTTTTGCTGCTTTCCGCGAGTTTTGTAGGACGTAGAGTATTCTGGTGGTACGACCTTTTTAAATTCAAAGTGTCTGAAAATTACTTCACGTCACGTAAGATGTACTCATGTTAACTTGAAACTTTAATTGCGTTTTTCTCGACATTATGTTTCTCGACCTTGCACCCAGTGAAGTCTCCGAAACTTTTCATCCGTTTCATTTGAAACTACGCGTTGTTTTTTTAGACAATGATCTACTAATACAACGAAGCCGACGATTTTTCGGATATTGGAATTTAATGAATTTTGGCGAATATTTAAAGTTGCCTTTTTTTCAGTTTCTTTATCATTTGTTCAAGTCGATCACGTAAATTTCTTTTTTTTTATGTATCATACGAATCCCTTTCGACGCTGGATGCAAACTAAAAAATATTCGTTGGGCACGGAGCTGAAAACTGTTACGGAATTCCGGCACTTTGTAATTTTAACACGTTCCGTGGCAGCGCTTGTTTTAACAACAGCCAATCGTATTTACAACGTTATTAAATGCAGCGTATCCTGCTATTAAATTTAGAAGCAGCTTTTATCGCAGGAAGGGTAAACATTTTCTGTAAATTGCGCAGCGTATTATAATGTTAAATACAAACATGCATCAGAATTTGATATTCACTGTGCGAAATACAAAATTGAAATCAACGCACATGCGAAACGCTGACAGCGAATACGTTGAATAATTAACGAATTCTATAGAAATCTTACCGAAATTGCTCACAGAGATTCATTTATTTGTGTTCGAACTTTCAAGGTTGCATACTCCTCCAATCTTTTCTATTCGGCTTTCAATAATATTATACATATATTAGGTCTACCGGAACGTTCTGAATTTCATTCCTGCAGAATTACTCGTCTTTAGAGGTGAAAGACTCGAGCAGTCCTTGGCTGACATCTGCTTCATCTTTGTATGGTGGATGTCGGAAACTGTGTCTTCAGCGAAAGCATTCACCAAACTTGTTGAGATTCAGAACGCAATGCCGTAAATAAACTTTATCGGTAGACGTGTTTACGCGCACGAAGCTCACTTAATATTGAAATAATGAAAACACAATGTTTCAAAAAATTTGGGAAATTTGAGATTTCTACTACTTCTTTCTTGGGATTCATACATTACCGCACAAGACTTTCCGGTAGACCTAATACAACTGATCAAAAATTTTAACGTCGAAAGGGTGTGTTAGACATCATTTTTTCATATAACACGAAAACGTTCATTCGCTGGTAGGTGTATCCAACAAATCATCCCTTATAAGGTAGTGGAGCCGATTACTGTGAGGTGACCAATTGCTGTGTCTTTAGTCCGTTTTCGGGCATAATTAATTTTCTACTCGTCGAACAAGACATATTAAATTTTGTCATTGAAAGTTAATCGAAATAAAAGAATACTTAAGTAATAAATACTAAAATACTAAAAAATATAGTAATACTAAATAGTAATACTAAATAGTCATATACTAATAATAAATAGTAATACTAAATATAGTAATACTAAATAGTAATACTAATAATAAATAGTAATACTAAATATATATATATATAGTAATACTAAATAGTAATACTAATAATAAATATAGTAATACTAAATAGTAATACTAATAATAAATAGTAATACTAAATATATATATATATAGTAATACTAAATAGTAATACTAATAATAAATATAGTAATACTAAATAGTAATACTAATAATAAATAGTAATACTAAAAGCTACTAAAATAACAAAAATTTAGCACGCGTTATTTGATAAATGCAAAGTTAATTACCGCCGAAAACAAAGCGAAGACAAAGCAGTCGGTCATCTCACCGGCTCCACTACCCTACTCGAGGTAAAACGATACGCCACTCCGCCGGCAACAAACATTCCAAGCCACCTGAACATCGATTTTCCCATTAAACACAAGGAGGTCTGTGAGCTCCCATCACCTTTTCCCTCCCGAACTTTATCAATCTTTCGAAAGTTCTAGGCGAGATCGGATTCGCCCGGTAATCGTCGTCGGCGCGTCTCGTTTCGCAATCGTCGTTGCCTAAGTATCCCCGAATAACAATTAGTATCGAAGCGCCGGGAATGGAAAGAAGAGGGTGGCGGTGGGTGCAAGGTCTAGCCGTTACTTCGAAGGGGCAAGTTTCCAGCGGGGGCGTCGAGCATGTAATTCCAGCGTCTGACCCGGTGTTTCCAGAAATACCTAGGGCTGCAGGAGGAGCACTACGCGCTGAAGGAGATCTGCACCGAGCAGGAACGAACACTGGAGGAACTTGGGGGACAATTGAGCGCGGCCAAATTGGCGGCCGTCGAATTACGCGAGGCCGCTGACAACGCTCAACACCAGCACCAGCACCAGCAGCAGCAGCAGCAGCAAGAGGGTGCAGCGACCTGGGCGAACGATCGCCTGGTCACCCATTGCAAGAGCTGCAACCGTGAGTTCAACATCACTCGTCGTAAGGTAATCAAACTTTTTAATTGCCCCCACCCTCTGGCTTCCGCCTCGAACCCCGTCGACCCTTTCGTCCAAGGTTGAAGCTTAGAGTCCAGGCGATTCGGCTTTTCAGCCGGGCGCGGCGCGAGGCGGTGCGGCGCCGCGCGTTTAATCGTTCAATTATCCTTGCCACTCTCGAAATTACTGGTTCCACGGTCCAGATTTCTCCGGCACGGACGATCGGATCACCCTGGAACCAGGAACGCGGCGACCCCCGTACGCGCTGAACGATCCTTGCGGCGTCGAGAGGTTTTATCGTGCCGCGCGCGGATACGCCTCTTCGACCTCGTCCAACTAACCCCCGTAGATCGGAATCGCGTGAGGCCGACCGGGAAACTTTGATGCACGACAGTTCTGTTATTAGAGATAACACGGTGTATCGCCGCTAAGCCTTGCAATTACAAGCGGCCGTTACGTTCACTCGTTTATGGCTGTACGAGCGCGCGCCGGCTCTCTCCGAACCGCTCTCCCGACGGTTCTCGCAACACCGCCCAACCCCCCTCGCCCACCCCGCTCCCAACAACCCCCTCGACTAATTGAAAAGATCCACCGCGCGGGGGGTTGTTGATTCGATCTTATCGCGCACTCGAGATTTTACGGGGCTCGCCTTAATGATGAATCAGCCTGTTTGCGTTCCTGACGGATTTCGGTGCACCTCGTTGAGAAATTGACTTCCGCGAAAGTCCGTTCAGCTCTTTGCCGACGCGTCCTCTCTGTGAACGCTTCCGTTTCACTCGATCCGTTGGCAATTTCGAGGGGATAAGACAGCTGAAAGTACCGGCCTCGGTGCGAATCTGCGCTTGTTTTGCACGAAAAAGTAATCATTTTGCGGATCATGTTCTGTTCGATGTTATTCAAATTCACCTTTTTCCAAATAAAATCAACCCTTTTTTTACAAATCAGAATCGATCGTCTTTTATTCGATCTTTAAATGTAACGCGAACCTATGTGCTTATTTATGAAACAGTAGAAATAATAATTCATCTTCATTGATCTTCGATAATTACTTATAAAATTTATCTCATTTTTTTTAATTCAATATGAATTTGAATAATATAATACGAATAAGTGAATTTAATATGCAAAAGGGTCAGTCCCGTTTGGAAAAGATGATTGATTTGATTTATTATACAAAAGGATGAAGTTGATTTGATAAAGATGAGTTCGATTTATAAAATGGGCCATTTAATTCGTAAGAGAACGAGTATGATTTATAATGGGATGAATTTGAAGTGCAACGCGTATGACGAACAATGAATTGCAGGAAAATGTTGTTTTAATTCCCTGCGAATGCAAGAAAATATATATTGAAAAGTTATTTTGTGCGTTTGCACAACTATAGCACCACGTTCATTGAAGTTCCTCGTGCAGGTTTTGATAGTTATTTGTCATGAAAAAGGCTGTGCATAGTTGTCAACGTTGCTAAAATATTTGAAATAACGATTCTTCGTACATTTTTTTTCTGTTACAATTTGCTGTGTTTGAAGAGATGTCTCGACTTTGTATTATCCGTATAAATGATTTCTGTGCCCCAACTAAATTATCAGTTTCATAAAAACGTAATTTTAATCAAGACATCTCTCATTTGAATAATCTATACCTTCTTTAGTATTTTTACAATTGGTTCTAGAATCCTGGTAGAATTAGTTTGGTAATTCATACATGTTATGGAATATTCTATATGTCTTCTAATCGTGATCAAATGGATCATGTGCACACATATTCGATTACGCGCCGGCGTTCATCATTATGATTTTCCATGCTACCGTATGTTTTTAACACAAGCAAAATATTTCGATGTATGAGCTGATACCCAATAATGTTAATGAGATTACCGTTGCAGAGTTAATTACTTACAACACGATGAATATTAGCGTTATGAATTTATTAACTTTAAAATATTCATGGTTCCGAATTCCATATAATATGACACTGAGCACCTCTTCTAAACTCGCCGATATTAATAGAAAATTGGATTAATAGAGAAGAGGAATTAACTAGATGATCTCGTTACTATGAAACATAATAATTTGGCTAATCAAGCCCGCAGAAGCACTATTACCTTGAGCACTTGGTATCGTTCATTTATTATGCTGCCTCTGATATTTTAAACGAGGATTAAATAACAGATGAACGAGCTTTGTGATTGAAACACGTTAGGACAGCAGATTGATTAGAAGTCAGTTTTCGTGTCTTATGTATAGGGGGTCCCAAAAATGTCTCGCCATCTTGAAACGGGGGGTTCCTGAGGTCATTTGAAGTAACTTTTTCCTCAGCGAAAATGCAATCCGCGGCTTCGTTTGCGAGTTATTAACGAAAAACATTGACCAATGAGAGGCGAGATCAGTTGGCGCGAAGCGGCCGAGCCAATGAGCGGAACTGGGCTTCGTGCGCTCGTTGACTGGACCGCCCCGCGCCAGCCGAGCTCGCCTCTCATTGGTCAATGTTTTTCGTTAATAACTCGTAAACAAAGCCACGGATTGTATTTTCGATAAGGAGAAAGTTACTTCAAATGACCTCAGGAACCCCTATTCCAGATTGTGACATTTTTCGCGTTACGTAATTTAATTATTTATCGTAACAGAATGGGTATTTTATAAGAATTCATTATCAATTGTTCAATAAAAATCAACTGAACGTTTTATCTCACGACGACGAACAATAGCAACTAACACATTGTCAGCGGTCATATATTTGATGTACTAATAAGTAATTGATTGTGTTTTGCCGATATTCATCGCTGCTGTCCGATACCCTTCGCAATTTATATAAAAGCGGCGTGCCCTGAATTTTCATCATTACTGATTTATTAAATGGAATATCATACTTCTTGTTGGCATTATTTAATGCTCTCATAAACTTCATTTAAGGTAAAAATTTAATTGTATTGTAATTATGTGCAATATCTGGATGTAATGTTCTCGGGACAGTTAAGCATTATTATTAGAATGCTTTTATACAAATATCAATTTTTTAAATAACTTTTAGCAAACTGGACTTGTATAGAAATGTCTGAAAATTATTATTAGACTGCGAGTTTTATGCATTCATGACAAAAAAATTAGTAGAAAAAGTACAGAACAATAATAAGATTCGGAGAATTTGAGAATATCGATGCATTATTCTCAACTTACAATTAGTATCTTCTAACTAGCTACTGCTTTTTACAACTGATGCAGACAATTTTTATTTTGCATCAAAATTGTCCTATCTATTTATTCGAATAATTTCTCATCTTCGATTCGAATCAATTATTCGAATGGGGATTGTAAAATTATGTGCATAATAAGACATCCTATAATGTTTATTCGAATCGCTTGTTTCCCAAATTAATTCCTGTATAAATAAATTTTCACTCGCATAACAAATAACTTTTTATTCGAATAAAATCCTATTCGGATTAATTGTCATTTAGACGAATTGTTACTCGATTCGATGTATATTCGTTAATCCTTATTTCTTATCCGTCGTCCGAATAAAATTTTGCCTGGCTCTGATCTAAAAGCGTATCGCACCGTTCAAATTCTAGTCGACACGGTCTCCCACAATCTAGCGATTACTATTAGGTACGTTCGGTGGTAACTTTTGCCAGTTCACATTACTTCGCATTACGCTCACGCGTGCCATCTCGTCGAAGTAGCCAGGAAATTTAAGTGTCGAGAAGCGAAACGATGTCTTTACACCGGCGCGCCTGCCATCGAGTAACCAATGTGCAATCCGCGAATGTGTGTATGTGTGTATGTGTGTGTGTGTATTTGCTGGTCCGATCGTTGGTAAGAAAAGTTGCAAAAGCTTCCTTCCTTCTTTTTTTTTTGCTCTCGGGTCTGAATCACGCGCCGGCACGATATAAGCACTTAAAGTATTCAGTCAGATCAGATCGTTCGGAGGTGCAGTTGCGTGCATCGATAAGGAAAGGCGGCGGGAGAGTGTATTCGTGCATTCGTCATACGGATATATTCCCGGGAAAATTTATGTGCCCGTAGGCCTTATCGAAATTTCATGGACGTGCACGATAGACACGATTTACTGGAGCTTCTTGGCACGCCGTTAATGGCATAAACGTAAGAAAAGATTCGATTCGTTCCATTACCACCCTCTCGAGTCTCCTCTGGCCTGGGATTGATTCGATTACCATACCCACGGTCCTGGTAATCGTTGAAAAGCCCTTGGTCGTCGCGGGTCTTCACGGAGTTGCGACAAATTTCCCGGTCTTATCGTTGATGGTTTTTACTTAATTCGCAGTTTTTTGGCTTAAACTTTCTTCGGCTCAAATTGTTTTAGCGCTGTTTCAAGGTCGTAGTAGGTCGCTGAATTCGTCTCGAGACCAGCTAGAATATGATCGAGTCAAAGATATGTATTAACGTTTACAAAATCGAGGTGATCAGTATTTGTTATAAAACAAAATGTTTTTTTGGAAGCTTTTATATTCTGATATGTGGCAAAATGAATACCGACCAAGTTTTGTTGGGAACATTTTTCTGTCGGATCATTAAAAATGTCTGAAATATCAAGAAAATCGTACTTCTATGGATTAGTCAGGTGATTTACAGTCTTTTATATTAAAAATAACAAATATTTAACAAATATTTCGTTGTAAAAAAAATGTAAAAGAATCTCTAGTTAAATGATATAATATTTAACAAGTAACGTAAACTCACCATATAATGTATTATAAAATTTCTGAATGAACGAACCAACGGGTCCGATATTCCATGACTCCAAGCGAAAAGCTAGTTTATTGAAATTATGAACAGTAGGTAAGGATCACGTTCCTTTGTTCGTCGCCTTTCGAAGAATTCACTCTAGTGTATACAGTTACGGGTCGAACTGACGCGACGCGACGTTGAAAATGCCGCGTTACGGTTTGTTAAGTTTCCTTAATACCGTAAGCTTTCGTATGAAAAAAAATCTAACGTCTAACATATTCTATCGTTTCTTTTTTCTCTAAGACTTCTTAATGAAAGAAA